CTACAAAACCAAGAAAGTAGTAGAGATTTATATTTTATTATTCAGCAGTTATAGGTCTTTCAGTCGACATTCGAAGTCGATTTTCTCACGAATGTTGTGAAAAAAATCAGTTTTTTGTTTTGCTTTTTTTTTAATAGAAAAAAACCAGTTTCTTGACACTTAGAAAATTAATTGAAAAAACATCAAAAATCATATTAGGAAATGTTAAAATATACGATTTGATGCGTCTTCATCTCCTGTTTCCAACGGTGAAAACCGCAGTTCTTTGTCTTGTTTCTATTGAAAGTTGTTTAAAAAATATCCATTAGCTTTTTCCCGTTAGTATTATCATTACATATCATAACAATAGTTCATTGTCGAAATTTTATTACTACACTATTAGTTGAAGTATGATGAAATATCACAGAAAAATCGAGCATTGTTTTTACTATGAGCATATATATAGAAAGAAAATTTCCTCAAGCTTTCTATACGGAATTGAGATGCCTCTGTCACTATTTTTGATATGCCCTAAATGTTATCATATTAAGAATATATAATAAATAAAAAAAGCCCATAGATGCACAAAAATGTGATGCATTCAATTTTAAAATTACATCTACATCATTCGTTTATCATCACCTATTTAATTCAGACATATCAGCTTATACATGTCATCTTGGATATTTTTTTGTGTAAATATTAGTTCTCATCTGTCAAATATATTGACATACATGAATGGAAGCTAGCGGGGGAAGTCCTCCAACTGATGAATCGTTGTTGAGTGAAGACTATGTACATTATATAGATTGAAATGAGCTATGAATATTCTCAAAAAGAATTTGAGCTCTCAACTCATTGCTATAGAGATACTCTGCTTTTACAGTATTTTCTAAATGAATATCATGGTAAGAGGACCTACAGAAACTTATTTTTTTTCGGGATTTATAGAGTTTATTTAAATGATTGAATTTATCTAGATCAATCTGTTGATAGCATATAATACATTTGGACTGTATTGGAAGAAAGACATAATTCGAAAGTGTCAGCTCCTCCGTCCTCATTGAATTTCTCGTCCTAAATGTCGCTTTCGCTTTCACTTTCACCTCCAATCAAGTATCAACACTCAGCATAGTTTTCTTCATTTTATGATAAGATATATAGTGAGATTTATAGAAAAGTCGTAAAAAATATCAAAGAAATAAATCCTATAAGCTGTTGTGATGGGAACAGCAAAAAAAATCTCAAAATATTCACAAAAACTATTCTCATTCAGGTCTATCTCTTTGCAAAGTTTCAAGTCGAAATTTGAAAATCAATGAACCATTTTGAGAGTATTCATAGCTCTCATTTGAATCTACATAATGTATATAGTCTCCACTCAAAAGCGATTTATCAGTTGGAGATTTTTCCTTGTGAATGTTTGAAAATATTCATCTATACATTTATACATTAGTGGGAATATTATTGAAAAAAAAAACTTGTTATTTAACTACAATTAGATGAAATATAGAAAAAAAGATCGTAATGATTTTTTTTTCTTTATCGATTAAAACCTATTCTATGATTCTAAATGATTGACACTAAATACTCTACTATTTGAAAAAGTTTCTCTTACATGAAACAATGTATACAAGAAAAATATTATTATATAATTTCTAAAATATTATCTGCTTGTATTAAAGATTCAATTGAGTTGTTTTAAAATGATATTTGTCTATTACTAACACAAAAGATCAAATATTTCAAAATATATTATTGAATTTGAACAATAGAGTTACATTAAATTAAAATTCGATAAATATATGACGTATGAAATTATCGTTTGCATACATTTTATTTAAAACATAGTTTTTATGTAATATTTTATTGATTTATATATTTACGTTTCTGTCATTTGATAAATTCTGTTTAGTTGGAAATACATGATAATTTTATATTAAAACAAATGATTGACGTGTCAAACAAGATAGATAATCAACTATATTTCCTCATATGTAATATTTATTCAGTTTATTGTTTCTACGATAACAAAAATTCTCAGTAATATAAGAAGATACATTTTTTCTATTTTGCTCACACACACATTGTGAAATAAACTTTGATAAATTGGTTTTTGTTCTCTCCACGTTTATTATAACAATGATCTCATCTGGAATTCGAAACATGATCCAATTAATATCCATTTTATTATTGTTAAATATTGTATTTGCTGTTTATGATACACATTATAAATATCAATCGCTGCCTGAATTAAATAATCCACGATCTGTTGATACTAATTATAAATATACTTGGTTTACAAGAGAAATTCATGATGATATAAATAGTGATGAAAAAAATACACCACAAGAACAACAATTGTCTCCACAAAAAATATTTCGTATGAAAATGCTCAAAAATATTTTGGATCGAAAATATCAAAATAACTATGAGTCTTTATTGGAATCAAATGAAAAACTTTAAAAAAAAAACAAAAAAAAAAGTTTTACATTGTACACGATAATAAAAATAAATAAATAATAAAATATATTAAAATTATTCTTTTCAGTCATAGTAGAATTGATTGATTTAAATTTTATTAATTCATACGTAATAAGTCATATTCAGAACATAAAAAATAATAAAAAGATAAATAATTTTGTTACAATCGATAATACTTTACAGAAAAAAAGCATGCATAAAGATACAATTCAATAGTTTAATTAAACAAAAACTCATATTACCAGAAGTAAATATTCACTGAGCTACTCCTAAATATTAGCTATCTTCTGAATTTATAATATTGTTAATGTTGCTAGAAGGAGATGACTTATATCAAAAATAACTATGATTTATATACATGAACTACATAATAATTCAATACAAAGTCTAGATGCAACGGAACCCCATTTTGATGAAATGATGCATTCATAACGTTCACATAGATAGATTCTGAAAAAAAATTCTATAAAATTATACGTAAATTCTCATTTATAACGAATGGATTGAAAGTTTTGAGATAAAATATTTGTTTATTTTTGATTATCTGAAAAGTGTTTCCGAAAAATCAAAATCTATGAGTAATGACCAGAATTCTGTGTTCGCTTTCCGAATGTAGACTTAAAAATTTTCTTCAGATCAATGAGACAATTTTTTTGAATGACACAAAACAATTGTTTGGATGGAAAATTTTTCCGCACACTCTTGTACTTTCATTATCAGCTTGTAGACCAGAAGTTACTCTACAAAATGCACTATTGAAGACTTTTTTTTTCTACAGATCACTTCAATTTTCGTTTCTCTTAAATCCTTTTTTTTTTTTGAAAGATCGACTTTGTGACCAAAGGACGTTTTGTATAGAAAGAAGCTCTTGACAAAATGCTTATAGTTTCACTTAGGCAAAAGCCACAGTTTAGTTCATTATAAAACTTTGTAAAGAAGTGCCCGCTTGACAAAATAACTGATTCCAACATTTTTTGGCACCTTCAAAAAGAAACTTATAGGATTAGCAAAAGTCTATTGATTCATCATCCAATCTAATTTTTTGGACCTTTAATAAAATAACTTCACTAATCTCGAACAAAAATAGACACAATATTTCTAATCTCATTTTTAAAGAGAGCATAAAATTTTGATTATCATCCATAGTTTTTGGATTGCCTGAAATACTGTTAAGCATAAAAAAAAATATTTTGTCTCATAACTTTCAGCCCATCCATTACCATGGGTTTAAATCAGAGCTCAAAACGGAGCAGACAGAATGATATCGAGTTGAAGTTAAGGACCCCCCCCCCCCTCAGAAACGATTTTCCACTTAAGATGGTCTTTTTGGGCTGAAATTTTCAGGAATGAGTGATCTTAGAGAGATACGCTTCTGGTAAAAATTTCAGCTCGCTTAGTCACACTAGACCGGACTTTCAGCTGATTCACAGGTCATTTTTGACCTTCAGGAGAATCGATATAACTTCGTGGTAAGATGGGACAGAGAGCTCGGGTTGATATCAAATTAAAGCCAATGTAAGTACGCAACTTTTGTCCGAACAGAATTTTGAAATACAACGAATGGAAGGAAAAGCTGAAACACTTAACACAAATTTTCAAAACAAATCAATTGATGATCAACATTATCAACAGTTATGACTTGAAATTTTTGATTATCGATAAAATTTTATTAAGCAAAACACAGCTGCAAATATTATGGAACGGTTTTCTGTTTATTCAAATCCATCTATGGTAAAACAAAATTGCAACACTTTCAGTATCACATTCTCATTTCAGATATTGACAAATGTTAAACTGTTAACAGATGCAGATTTGGATCATTCTGTTCAAGAAAAAATGAATTTGCTTTCTAACAAAATTTGTTCTGATAATAAATTTTTAACAGGTATGGAAAAAAAGTTTATAGTATACCAAACAGTCATTTTGTTTATTAGATAATCCAATTATTCGTCGTTTTAAAGTATTATGTAATATACTAAACAACTCATGGAAATATTACATTTGCTTGTACCCTAATGTAAGTTATGTGTATATTTTTTAAATTTTCTAAAATATCGCGAACATAAAAAGAATAGAAGGAGTTAGTGAGATTTGGTCTTGTGTTCTAGTCAGCTAGATAGTCTTCTTGGCTTGATTGAGAGATATCGTTTATTACTTTAGTTTTCCTGTATTTTTGACTACTACAAACTGTCTATCAGTGCTGTGATTTTTTTAGTTTAAACTTTCTTAATTGTGAGGATATTAGCTGACCATAAACGTTATTCGATCAATCAGATAATATAAAGTATCATGAATAATATAAATGTTTCTATAAAATTGATTTTCTATCAGCAATTTTGACACATGAATAATTCCTTCTATTTGACTTCACATAATCTCTTATTATGCAATAAAGAGAAATTCTTATTACATTCCTCTTCTCTAAAACTTATGCTTTTTAATTTACCTCGATTGATCTTCTGATTCTTTTTAAAAACTAGTTACTCCTCAAACAACAATGGTAATTGAAGACAATGATATAAAAATTTACTTTGATAGGACATTCTTTTGGTCATCAAATCCTATTGAACAGTCTATTGCAATAATCGTTGGTTTATATTGTTTGATGAGTCTCACAAATCAAGCATGTCGTACTGCAGTGAGATTTTTATATGTCTATTTCATGAACGATAATCAACAACAGTCAAATATCATTCGCAAGAATTGTGAAATATACAACATTCAACTCCATGATAATCCTTCTTCATCATATATTGTGTCGTTGGAAAAAATAGAAATTAATGATTTTGATAGAAACAAAATAGAAAACTGTGATTTTCATCGCTGGAAAGAGGAAATGAAGATGCATCGAATCGTATACGATAAATTTTTCTATTACATTGGCGCATAAGTTCTGAGAATTTTTTTCTGGTTTAACAATAACTCTATTTTTCAACAAAGATATGCAACGTCAATCAACAATATAAAACGAGACGAGAAAAAAGAAAAACATTAGCACGATAAATTTGTAATTTTTATATAAACTCGTCAAAAACATCTTTAATTATGATTAACTGTTGTTTTACAAAACGTTTTGAACAAGTTCATAAAAGTAGAAGTAACCACCATTTTACGAGGTCTTTTTGATGAGCCCATAAAAATCGAATTAAGTTGTTGTCTAACAAGGTATTTTTGACGAATTCATATAAAAATTACAAATTTATCGTGCTAATGTTTCTCTTTTTTCTCGTTTCGTTTCACTTACTAGTATGTGATAAATATGAATCATACACTGTTTGAAAGACAAGACAATTTTCTATCAACTGATAAAAAAATATTCTTTTCGAAAGGTGTTTATCGAAGAGATGCAGAGATCAACATTGCAACGTTCTTCTGAATCTTACGAAAAGTGCGGATGCTTCTCTTTTCTATTGCGTCGTTTCGTCTATGAATGCGTTATAAAAATAAGTTATATGCGATTCGAAAACGGAGAAAAGGGTCTATCTTTTAGTAAGAAAATGTTCGTTCAGTACCTTTCCAATGCCAAGAAATAGGGTCCGACATTTGTCCCATTACTTTTACATCATACATTATTATAGAACCTGAATGATAAAAAATACCATTGGGACATCTGACCAGACCTGCCAATCTCATATATATATGTATATAATAAATATTCATAACGACTGCACGTAAGGGGTGATCGCCGAAACAAAATTCAAGAACATAGATGATCAAAATGTATTCGACGATCTTCCTTTTCGGTAATATTCGTTTCGGCGCAATTTTCAGCGATAGGGTGTGCAACGTATGAGTCTTGCAAAGATACTAGAAATCTAGAGAATAAAATTTTCTTGTTATTAAAAACAAATACTTTCAGCTTACATTTAAACTTGATAGTAGACAAGTTTACAAAATTCAATTGATGCTCAGTGAAACTATTGGAGACTGAATTCCAGTTAAACTTTTCAATTTTCTATCGATACGAAAAACTTAACTAAAAGAACAAAACCGAGAATTTTAAAGAGTGAAGAAAACTTTGTCTATTATGCATAGAATAAAATCTTTGAAGTATGTTTCTGATTGTCAAAAACAACAAGTGTCCTATTTTTTTATATTGAAATTATGCCTGTTGTTCATGAGTATGCTTCAGTATTTCAAAATTAGACATAGTTATTTACAGCTTATCTTTTAATATTTTTTCTGTGCTAGAACTCGAATATGTGATATATTTTAGAACTCCACAATGAATTACAAAAATATTTCATAATAAAGATTATAGTCAGTGATTTCTTTAATTTTCATAGTATAAAAACGGTGTTTAGCGTTAGAAATTATTTTCTTTTCTTTTAAATCATATCATATTTGCTCTTTCCCCATGATTTTTTTCTCTTCGCACATATTCATTAGTATAGAAGGCTGAAACAGGGCGTTAAAAATCAGAATAGGGTTTTGACTCGAAGAAAATTTTTTCTTCTGTCAAGATCAGATAGTAAAGAAAAAAAGATTTACGGTCAGAGCTATACGAGAATCAAATAAAATCTCTCCTTTTTGGATTCTAGTTGAAATTTGTGCTAAAACATATTTCTGAAGTTAGAATAGAATCAGATAGAGATTTGATTACTTACTGATCAAACTCAAGTATCCATTCTGTATTGCTACCGAGGTTTGTTATTATTTCACATATCAAGATATGTCCACATGTTAGTAAGACTCAAGGGCGTCCTTCAGAAAAATAATAAGGAAAATGTTGAAGAATTCTCAAAAAAGAAAATGATTGTCTTTCTTCTTAGAAAACTTGATTATAATATCAACTCCCTATTATCTCACTATCGATCAACTAAGTTTCAATCAAACATGACAAATTGTTTTTTGTCCGTAATCATTATGATTAAACAAAACTACAGTATTAGATTGCAAACCATCTTTGATTAACAGTTTCATGCATCATCATTGACTTCTTCAATCTAACAAATCTTTTTTTTAATTAAAAAAGCATTCTG